AAGGTCACACATCCTGGCATTACACGACATTGAAAGGTCACACATCCTGGCATTACGACATTGAAAGGTCACACATCCTGGCATTACAGACATTGAAAGGTCACACATCCTGGCATTACACGACATTGAAAGGTCACACATCCTGGCATTACACGACATTGAAAGGTCACACATCCTGGCATTACACGACATTGCAAGGTCACACATCCTGGCATTACATGACATTGAAAGGTCACACATCCTGGCATTACACGACATTGAAAGGTCACACATCCTGGCATTACACGACATTGAAAGGTCACACATCCTGGCATTACACGACATTGAAAGGTCACACATCCTGGCATTACACGACATTGAAAGGTCACACATCCTGGCATTACATGACATTGAAAGGTCACATATCCTGGCATTACATGACATTGAAAGGTCACACATTCTAGTAATTACATGACATTAAAAGGTCACACATCCTGGCATTACATGACATTGAAAGGTCACACATTCTATTAATTACATGACATTGAAAGGTCACACATCCTGACATTACACGACATTGCAAGGTCACACATCCTGGCATTACACAACATTGAAAGGTCACACATCCTGGCATTACATGACATTGAAAGGTCACACATCCTGGCATTACATGACATTGAAAGGTCACACATCCTGGCATTACATGACATTGGAAGGTCACACATTCTATTAATTACATGACATTGAAAGGTCAGAACATTCTAGTAATTACATGACATTAAAAGGTCACACATTCTAGTAATTACATGACATTGAAAGGTCACACATTCTAGTAATTACATGACATTGAAAGGTCACACATCCTGGCATTACATGACATTGAAAGGTCACACATTCTATTAATTACATGACATTGAAAGGTCAGAACATTCTAGTAATTACATGACATTAAAAGGTCACACATTCTAGTAATTACATGACATTGAAAGGTCACACATTTTAGTAATTACATGACATTGAAAGGTCACACATTCTAGTAATTACATGACATTGAAAGGTCACACATTCTAGTAATTACATGACATTGAAAGGTCACACATTCTAGTAATTATGACATTGAAAGGTCACATTCTAGTAATTACATGACATTGAAAGGTCAGAACATTCTAGTAATTACATGACATTGAAAGGTCACACATTCTAGTAATTACATGACATTGAAAGGTCACACATTCTAGTAATTACATGACATTGAAAGGTCACACATTCTAGTAATTATAGTGACATATATAGATCCACTATCAAAGAATAAATTTCTGCATTTTTTTTGCTATGACAACATGGGTCATGATAGTAGTTTGTTGATTCTCACCTCTTCTATCTTGTTATGGCTGACATCAAGATGCACTAGAGAGTAGAGTTTAGCCAGACCAGATATGCTTTCAATACGGTTGCCAGCAAGGTTCAATGATTTAATATTTCCAAACTTTGTATTGAATGCATCAACACACTCTAGTTCATTGTGTGACAGGTCAACATGTGTCAGACATGACAAGTTCTGTAAATGATCCACTGATACAATCTGGTTATAACTCAAATCCAAATACTCCACTCTAGGCATTAATTTCTGAAAGACAAGTACAGGTTATATCAGAAAAGTTGGGCTAGGATAAGAATTTCTTGATTTATTGTATAAACATACCATGACTGTTTCCAATGTAAGTTTATTGTATATATATCCAATGATACATATTATTATACATCTGTCACCGTAACACCATAAGTTACAGCGTGCCGTAATTTTCATCCTATCATATTAGAAAATGGGAATTCTAAATATGGAATGATTTTGCGCGTACGCGTTCTTTAATAATAAAAACAAACATGGCTGCCACCAAGGTTTGACCGGACTCCACACTAAGAAGTCGCTGATTCTGTTCTAAAGGTTTTGGATTTCAGCATTCCCATGATGTATCCTTAGAAGGAAAAGATGTATAATAATAAGGTTATTA